ACTGACTTTAATAACAGTATTTGCCCATTATTTTAACTTTGTTTATGAGGAGAAAATGTGCCATCTTCCCTACAATCCATTCCAGGAATCAGAGCGCAGAATGGACCAACAGCAAGGACATGCTCTTGTCCCTTCATGCCCCAGCTGATATAAAACCAAGACGAGTGTGCTAGTACCTGCCTCCAATCCAAGTCTGACACTTAAAGGAAGTTTCAGATCCTAATAACTGGGGACTTCTATTTATTATTATTTCTTTTGAAGTGAAGGCTCAGTTTTCCCTGTGCCCCACACAGCATTTCACATTAGCACAGAGGTAGCTGACATCTGAAGATACATTATAGCCTGAATGTCCATTAAAAGCTGGCAATCAGCTCTCACTGCCTCTGAGTGATGAGCCAATGCTTTAGTGTGAACTGCCCAGAAGCAGTTTAATTACTATTAATTTTCTGATGCAATTACTATCGATTTTCTGATGTAATGGAAAGCAAATTGGATCTTACAAGATTATAAAAATCAATTATCCAAAGCAAATCCATACTTAGGTGCATTAGAATCACCTGAATACACACACAGCTATAGAATTATCTTGTGGGAAACATATATGCAATATGTCTATATATGCCCCCCCTGATATTTTACTCAATATAAAATATGATATTTTACAATATAAGAAGACTTATCAGGCTTTCAATTCCTACCACACAGGAATCCACAAACCAGAGACAACATGTGTAACTGGAGGAAAGGAAATCCAGTGTTACATCTGAATATAGGGCAATTTACCTGAAGAGGAGAAATTATCCTTCACACAACTATTGAAGTACAGAATTACGAAGGATTCCTCTTGCCTTCTTAAACATTTGTTGGACTTCACCCCAATAATTAATGTGAATTATCAAGAACTAAGCCATAACCTCCAGGTGAGGTATTAAGCGGCTTATTCGAAGAACAAAGCCGAGCAGAAGATAACTAAAATTCTCCTGAAATCAAGGACATTCACATAATTATTAGACCCAAGAACTAAAAATAGGATGGCAAACTGTCCCATATAAATTCTTAACCCTAGAAAATGAAACATTGATGTAGTTCTTTAAATAGATGATTACTTCCATAGATGATGCACATGTTTTCATTTTCTTCCAGAAGTTATATTAGCCAATTCTAATAAATTAAAATATGCCAACTTGGAAAGAATTAGTCAACAACATAACTCCATGGAAAACCTATCTGTAATGTTTTTTTCTTTTATTGAGCTACAAAGAATTCAGGATCATGACTGTTAATAAAGGTAGATGAAATAGAGACAGCGCAGAAAAAAAACCCCTTATTTTTTGTTACACTGCCAAATGCGTATCTCTGTGAAACAAGACTAAATGTAATGGGATCAAAGCTCATTGTAACTCTATAAAAACCAGATTTGCTTGGGTTTTCCTAGTGTTCTAGTTTAGGACAATTCAGCACTATCAGAATAATATGAAAACATATGCACTGTCTACATTCACTTTCAAAATCTTGCCATCTCTTTTATATTTGTCTAATATCTAACGTTACTGTAAAGTAATTAAAGTTAATTTTACAACAGGCACATAATTTGCTGTCCTGAATGAAAATCGTGGTTTTAATGCTAAAGACTTCAATTATTTTCAAAGCTTCTCTGCAGATACCTGCTACACTGTAGATTTAAAATTCTTACATGCTTTTTTCCCCCCTCATTCATCGATAGTTTATAAAATAACAAAAAAAGGACAAACACTGCTAACTATTTAACATATGCCCAGCCCTGGACATCAAATTAATATAATCAGTTTTCATTAAGTTCAAGTTTGTATCTTTTTGAGAAAAAGCTGAATAGAAATATGTTATCATTCAATATTTTTAAGCCATAGCACTATACTCACACTTGTTTTAAATGGTGTGCCAGGTGAAGAGCAGTTGTTATATTTGTCTTCCTTTCTTTGCTATAGATATTAAGCAATACTCCCTAAATTTTATTAAGTATTCCAAATGTTTCTAATAAAATTTCTAGCAAAATTAGACATTCCATGGAACAAGCTATGGAATATAAAAAGCCACATATAACAGAATCAGTCAAATATGCAAACTATCAGTCTAGTAAAATGGCCACAATTCAATCTGTAATAACAAATAAAGTTTGTAGAATGAGCATAATCATTTAAAAACATGAACTTGGAGATTTATGCAGAGAATTGCTTTCATTACAAAGCACTTGCTAGGCATAGCAATAAAATCAAGATAAATGTAAATCAAAAAGCAAGATTTAGCAGGCAAACAATCATCAATTTATTTATGAAAACAGATTGTAGATAAACATCACCAGAAAAAATGTTTACCAAGAAGAG